ACGGACACGCACCATAAATTGTGCAGAAATATTGATTTTGCTATGTAATTTGGATCCACTTCTTCAGAGGGCGATAGTGCGCGAGGGAATTTTAGCGTTACAGCCAAAAGGCCGGCATGTCCGCTCTCGGATCCTCTCTGGTAGTTCCATCTAAAAAATGGAAGCAAATGGCGCTAGTGTACGGGGAGGTCAAAACTTTTACCGGTGTTGCGAAAAACGTCAGGATGACCGCTCTTATATGTTTCTCTTTGCCCAGACCTGCCTCTAGGTCTCTGCTCTAGGCTGCGTTCAGAAACGACACCCGGAAGCTCCCAATCTCTCAAACGCCGTTCAGAAACTAGTTGAGAAAACTGTAACGCTACCTAAAGTGACCCGTTCAGAAACGTTTCGAGTGCTCTCGATTGAGAGACTTTTACACTTTGCGAAATAGCAGGGGAAAAAGTCTCTCGATTGAGAGCAGTACACAAAGCGTGGCAAACACAACCGAATATACTGAATATATTGATACTGAATATCAGTAAACGAGAATGCATTGAAATAGATTTAAAAAATTCATTTTGAAGTTCGCAAATCGTACTTCTGAAAATCTGAATTTATTTCAATGCCCAATGTCTTTGTATTTATTTATAGGAATTGCATAAACAGATTTTTTATGACATTTAATCCAAAAAAATTCAGCTTTAAAAAGTAAATCGTGAATACTGGTTAATTCAAAATTCTAGATAGCAAATGCAGTTTTTTTAATCTAATTAAATTCAAAAAAAGTTTTTCCATGAAAATGGATCATAAATGTCATTCAATTAAAAATTATGACTAGGAAATGCATTGTTTCAACCCATCTAAATCCAAAAAATATTATATTGTATTTGAACAAATTAAGATTAGGCTAGACTAACGAGCTCATATAAACGAGAATGACAGCGTTTTTTATTATAACAAAATTTTAAATAGCTATAAGTATTATACATAAAATGATCAACGTTATACGTGGTACATGTTTCGACCTAGATTGGTTTTCTTCAGCCACTTCAACGAATTACATTGCTTATAGCTATTGAAATTTTGTTATAATAAAAAACGCTGTCCTCGTTTAAATAAGCTCGTTAGTCTGGTCTAATCTTAATTTGTTTGAATATATTGTAATATAATATTTTTTAGATTTACATGGGTTGAAACAATGCATTTCCTAGTCATAATTTTTAATTGAATAACATTCATGATCCATTTTTACGGAAAAATTTTTTTTGAATTTAATTAGATTGAAAAAATTGCATTTTCTATCTAGAATTTTGAATTAACAAGTATTTACGATTTACTTTTTAAAGCTGAATTTTTTTGTATTAAATGCCATAGAAAATGTGCTTATGCAATTCCTATAAATAAATACAAAGGCATTGGGTATTGAAATGGATTTAAATTTTCAGAAGTATGCATTCGTAAACTTTGAAATAAATTTTTAAAAAATCTATTTCAATCTATTCTCGTTTAGCGCGTTACGTGGAACGCACCTATGTCGTTCAGAAATATATCCACCCGAGAGAGCACCTTATCTCTACCACTTCACTCACCCCGACTCCTAGTAACCACCCGCTAGGTGTAATTTCTGAATGCAGCCAGAATCCTCTCTGCCTTTGTTCTTTGTAGGCCGCAAGTGAGTCCAAGAGTGGCAAGGAGTGCGAGAGAGAAAGATATACGAGCGATATTTCGTCCTCTCTGTCTGTCGAATGATCGACGCATGCGCAGAGAGGACGAATATTACTCGGCTTCCTTTCTCTCTCGCACACATCTTGGACACAGTTTTCGAGCCAACATTCCCCCTCCATGTCTTGTATACTTAAAGGTCGTCTCGCGCGCCCACCGTCCACCGTTATCTTGTCTTGTCTCGTTGTCGCTTCCCGAAGCTTCTATAACGTTTCGTTTCTTTGAGTACGCACTTATTATCTTTACCTTCGTTTTTGTATTCTCTTGTCTAATAAACATTATTACTTGTGAATACGTTTGCAGATTTATAGCCCTCTAAGGTTATGGGCCCAGGCAGTTCGCGATAAAAACCGAAGAAAAAGGTTAAGCTTGCTTTGTGCTGTGTGCCACACTCGAACATTATTCAGACATTTGTAAGCTGTGTGCTACAACCGGAATAATGACGGACAAATTAGACGTTTTCCGAAATCTCGAAATTCGATTGACATAATTTCCATCAATGGAAATTCCAATTAAACTGTACACTCAAGGCCAAAGATGTCTTCAATGTCGCTACAGGTATCGCACCAAAGCCTGAGGATGACGACGCTGCGAAGAAATGGACACGCGACGATGCAACAGCAATGTTCATCATAACCTCGTCGATGGAAGTCTCACAGATCACGTTGGTGGAGAATAGCCAATCGTCGCTGGAAATAATTTGTAAGCTTGATTCAATTTATGCGCAAGTAAGCGAGACGAACAAAATGATGGCCCACGAGAAGTTTCATAGCTATAAAATGTGCAGTACAGACTCAGTGTCACAGCACATAGCGAAGGTCGAGAACTTGGCTCGACGAATTAAAGATTCTGGCGAAGAGGTAAGCGACACAACAATTATTACAAAGATTCTGAGTACCTTACCGACAAAATTTCGTAGTTTTAGGCAAGCATGGTTATCCATGGATAACACGAAACAAACTTTGCCGAATCTCACAAGTCGTCTACTAGATGAAGAAGCTGGCTTAACGTCAATCGAAGAAAAGGAGCAGGCTCTAGCAACATCTGCCAGTAACACAAGAAGCAGTTTGAAGAAAGAAAAGTTCGCACTAGATAAATCAAGAATCACGTGTTACGCCTGCCGAAAGAAAGGACACTTCGCGAAGGATTGTAGGAGCTCAAAACGCAATCAGATTCAAACAGTTCGAAGCAGCCAAAAGATCGTAAGGACAATGCGAGTCAAGAAAATTATTCAGCATTTTGCGCAATTAGTAACCATTCAACTGACTCAGAATGGATTCTCGATAGCGGTGCCTCTGCTCACATGACGTTCCAAGGAACGCTCTTCTCAACTTTTGAAGAGATGCCTAGCACGACCTCAGTTAGTTTGGGAAAGAGTCAGAACCTGCTTATACTCGGAAAAGGTGTCATTGAAATAAAAATATTAGTGAACGGATCCTGGGAGAACGGCTGTATTAAAAACGTTCTGTATGTGCCTGATCTAAAAAGAAATTTATTTTCAGAAGGCGTCGTAACGAAGAAAGGCTTCGAAATAATAAAAAAGGATAAAATTGATAAGATTTTTGACAACGGTGTATTAGTTGCAACGACTGTAAGAAAGTCAAATAATCTCTATCAAATGCAATTTGAAGTACAAGTTCTGGAAGAAGCAAATACTGCAACTAAAGAATCATATTGTCTGTGGCACGAAAGACTAGGCCACATCAATCGACGTGCCATAGTTTCTTTGACGAAGAACAAGTCCATTGACTTAAATGATCTCGACAACACTGAAGATTTTTTCTGTGAGAGCTGTGTCAAAGGAAAGCAGCATAGAACTGTTCATGGCAAATAAAAAATGAAGCAGAATTACAAACCCGGTGAGAAGGTTTACAGTAACCTCTGTGGATCAATGAGTGTCGACTCAGTGGGAGGTGCAAGATATTTGGTTTTGTTCAAGGATGCCCATTCAGGATATTGAATCGTAAGCTTCATACGTCATAAGAATGACGTTGTTGATTTTTTTCGCGAATATGTCAATAGAGTTAAAACAAAGTATGGCTATACAGTAAAGATCCTTCATACAGACAAAGGAAAGGAATACTTAAACCAAGATATAAAGAAATATCTAAAGAAGACTGGAATCGAATCGGAGGTGACCGCAGCTTATGGAACAAAATAGACGTGCGGAACGCGACATGCGTACCATCATTGAATGCGCGCGTGCAATAATGATGAATCATCAAGTACATTCGTCATTATGGGCGGAAGCTGTCAACACAGCTGTATATATATTAAACAGAACGCCAAAAACTCAAGCACCACATTCAACGCCGTTTGAGCTATGGACTGAGAAAAAACCGTCCTTGTCTCACCTAAGAACTTTCGGTTGCGAAGCTCATGTACACATACCGAAGCATCTTTGAACGAAGTTAGATTCAAAGAGTAAGAAAATGATCTTCGTTAGATATGATAATAACTCCAAAAATTATCTTCTATTCGATCCAGAAACCAAGCAGATAAAAGTCTCAAGCGACGTAATATTTAATGAAAACAAAGTTTATGACGCAGAAAAAGATAATGAAATCAAATCTTCGTTTGTCTTCCCAATAGATCCTGACGAAATCGACGACGAAGAAAATCCATCAGAGACTTCGACAGAAGAAGAATTCTTAGAATACCATACTCCCGGAAAACTAGCTCAACCCGAGCAGCCAGTTAAAAATGAATCAAACGATGCCCAAAATCGTTTCAAATATCAACTTCGCGACTGAAAAACACTGAGAGAACCTAACAGGTTCGAAGAAAATCTCGTGGATGCAGATACCCCGCAACCATTTCAAGAGGCATTACAACGCTCCGACGCTGACCAATGGAGGGATGCGATTAACGAAAAGAGCTGGACGCATTAAACAAGAAAAACACTTGGAAGTTGACACCCCTACCACCCAATAAAAATGCAATAGAATCAAAGTGGGTATTCAAAGTCAAAAGAGATTCAGAAGAAAAAATCTCATCCAGAAAAGCGAGGCTGTGTGCAAATGGCTTTTCTCAAAAAGAGAGAATCGATTATAAGGAAACTTTCTCGCCTACAACAAGGTTCAATTTCATAAGAATACTATTCGCCGT